ATGGAGCCTTGTCATTAAGGGCTTTGTGAACACAACAAAGATGTGCCTTTAGAAATGGCACTGCACAGCCCAGAAGCAATCTTACCTGCACGAAACACACACAAAAATTTAGAAAAAACTTATATTAAACACACAAGATGTCATGGGGTAGGACTGAATAAGTCTGACTTCTTCCTACTCCATTCAAACATGTACTAGGTATAAGCAAACTGATTCTGAATCAGCATTGGTTGGATTTGTATAATCATGTGTGTGTTGATGTCGTTTGTTCTGCATGTTTGAAAGAATAAAATCAAATCAAATTAAATCAAGCAAATCTGCAAAGATTCTGAACAGATTTTGAAATCACCAATGACAATTAACCAACGGTTATAAACTCTGAGTAAAAAGATTCACTTAAATGCCACTTGTTGTTCTCTCTTGGTGATGTAAAATAACTATGAACAAATATCAGCATTTGCTTATGATTCATAGGAGGTTATAACAGTACATCTATACAAGTAGAAACACTCCTTTAATCTTTTTTGACTGAGATTAAAATCATGGTAATAAAATGACCAGAACCACCAGTTAAAATGTTGTGCACAACACTGACTGCACAGTAAAGTTGTGGATTGAAAAATGATTTTGTTGGGAGAAACACACAAAGGAGACAAGTGCTGTCTGTGGTGTTATGCTGACTGCTAATATTCATGGTGATCACACCAATATGGAAGTAATTGGTCCATTACTGCCACTAACAACTCCCCGAGTTTCTTGCACACTTTAAGGCAAAAGTCACAAGATAACAGGGATACTAGTTTATATATAACACCCATATGCAGATAAGAGGTAAATATTTAATATGTCACTGCAGTTCATCTTTTCAAAACATCAGCTGTTTCAAATATATCAAAAAGGTTTGCAAGATTTGAAATTGCTGTACAGAAAAGATGTATCCATTAAAAAGGTCTGTTTTACATAAAACATACAATCATTTTTAGTTTTATTTCTGGCGATTTACATCTTAGCTTTGTGCACTTTAAAGTCAATGACTGGGGTCTAGTTCCAAAACATGTGCCTGGTGGTGTGTACAGTATGTCACTACAACCTGGTGGTGTGTACAGTATGTCACTATAAGCTAATGGTGTGTACAGTATGTCACTACAACCTAATGGTGTGTACAGTATGTCACTATAAGCTAATGGTGTGTACAGTATGTCACTATAAGCTAATGGTGTGTACAGTATGTCACTATAACCTGGTGGTGTGTACAGTATGTCACTATAA